TGAGCCATGGATGTGTGCAGCACCCTGTTTTCCAGAGTCAAGGAATCTCATTAGCTTGGAAATCCCACACTTTGTTCTGCTAAAGGGTTTCAGCTAAATGGCTTTGCCAATCAAGAAGATGTAAGGGCCGGCTGTAATGAGAAAATGCAACTTTATGAATGCGAGTAAACTCCTAGATGGTATTTTAAAACCCTGTAACAGCATTACAAATGAGCTACACTGAAAATATCTCTGGATATTGATTGGATCGTATGTCAGAATGTGTATGTGCTACTACAATAAATTTAGAGGATGTTGACATTTAGTTGGTTGTTTAGCAGATATTTTATCTCCTAAGGCAGCTTATAGTGCACTTGATAAAGAAATGCAAACATTTTTTTTTGATTTTTTGAATTGGTTTTGTCGACAAAGAGAAATTGTATATACTTTTTATTTTTGCACAGGGGTTCCTCATAACTGTTTCATAAATGTCAGTTGTCAGTGTCTCATTTAAGTATCAGCTTTCTCTCCGGTGTTAAATTTCATAGGAGAAATACAAATGCAAACAAAAGAGAATTTCTTTGATATACAGTAAGAGTTTAAAGTTTAAAGCTACAATACCAAATGTTTGGGGGTATTTTTAATGTGTTTGAAAGTCTCTTACCAAGGCTTCATTTATTTGATGAATACAGTACAGTAAAATACAGTAAAAACAGAAATACTGAAATATTATTACAATTTGAAATAACTATTTTCTATTTTAAAATATTTTTAAATGACATTTATTTCTGTGATGTCTAAGCTGAATTTTTCAGCATCATTACTCCAGTCTTCAGTGTCACATGATCCTTCAGAAATCATTATAATATGCTGATTTGCTGCTAAAAACATTTCTTATTATTGAAGGTGTGTTAATATTTTAGCATGTATTTGAAATTTATATATATTCTTGTAACAATGTAAAAGCGTTACTTTTATATTTAATAAACATAATGCATCCTTGCTGAATAAATTAAATTAAATTAAATTAAATTAAATTAAATTAAATTAAAATAAATTAAATTAAATTAAATTAAATTAAATTAAATTAAATTAAATTAAATTAAATTAAATTAAATTAAATTAAATTAAATTAAATTAAATTAAATTAAATTAAATTAAATTAAATTAAATTAAATTAAATTAAATTAAAAAACTAACCCAAACTTTTGAATAATATGTATGTGGATAGTATAGGTAGCTCAAATCTTGGTCTTGGAAGAATTTAATGAGAAATGTGTTTATTTTGATTGCAGACTTTTGCAGATTTGTCAAATCTGAGTTTAGTTTGAGATCTCTTAAAATCTCTTGAAGAGATTTAAGTGAAGCTACAGGGGAATTTTTCAGGAAACATTGGAGAAACTTCAGCAAAAGTCTTCATTTGTTCACTAACTCTTGATTTCAGAACTT